TTTATCTCTGGTGATACTAATTTCAAATTGCATTCCAATATGAGGAAAATAATCAGGTTGAAGCGTCTACTGTTTTTCTCTTCTTTTTTAAAATTGATGGTATAAGCTTTTGAGGGCAGAAAGAGAAAAACGGACTAAATGCTTAGATCAGTGTAAAGTAAGACAATGAAAATTAAGTAACTAGTAATGGTAACGAGTTGTAACGTGAGTTAGGGGATTAAGTTACAGAGTATGTGTAATTTGGGGATTCAAAAACCAATTAACTAAGCTCACGTGTATATAAAATAGCCTATATATATATATATATATATATATCACTTGCAGATGTCTGAAATGAAAGCTAATTAAACAAAAGTAAAACAAATGTAGTCTACAGAAATCATTATTGGGGAAGTCTAATTCTTTATTATCTATTCCCTTTCCCGTTTCACTTTTTCTTCTATCTTCAACTAAGTAGATAGTAAACCGGATAAAAATATTCTGGATTTTGTTTCGTATAACTATAAAAATATCTTCTAAAGAGAGACGTTAATTTTATCCAAAGAAGCATATCATAAGCGAGTAAGAAATAATTTAAGTAGTTACTAGTATAACCATTAAGTGATTTAGGTAATTTTACATCTACAATCAACTACATTTTATTTACTGATGTTACCGTCATATCAATTGCTTTATGGGTTAGAAAATGATATTCAGCGGGTTTCCATAGAATAACTTGAAACAGTTGAAATCAACAGGAATGTATACTTCATATATATGTGAAGAAAACAGCGTAATTTGAAATGACCTGAGGAAATAATCCGACTTCTGAGTTAGATTGACTTATCCCTAGGTGTCTTCCTTTAGAAAAAGTCTTCAGATTACGGTAATTTATGAAGATTTTCATCCTGTATTATTATTACTGATATCCATTGACCAGTATATACCAGTTAAGAATGGCATATTTTATTTCAGCAACTCGATTTTCAACTTTTGAGTGGCTTACCAAAGGTCACACATCTGAATTACATTGAGAACGTATAAATCTTGCCAAAGACTTCATATTTTTTTCCAGTTGTGCTTTATGTATGATCTGGCAGTAAAAACTATGTTTTCAGATTTGCAGCTGATTCAGTGATTGTCTACAGTATGGAGTGAATATCTTCTCACTCTCTCCAAAAACATAGACTCTTAGTTTCATTGTGATTTTGTGATTTCATGCATTTTTTGTGTTCGCGCATTTCTAACTTATATCAAAGGGTTCCAGCATCACCAAATAGCTCTAACTTGTTGTTATCTGCACCTCTTTTAAATCTGAAGGCTATCGTGATAGGGTCAGTTGACTCATCAGTTTCAATTTTTTTAAACTAATTTATGGTTGATAAGATTTCAGTAAAGTTCTAACCAGTAGGGTGCAGCAGGTCGGGTGTGAGGACAAATACTTGCCGAAGACATTGGCTAGCGGTTGCGCTATATCGTGAATTGACAGAAGTTAGAATTCATGGACCATTGGATCGGGTCCCAGTGGCTTAATGGTATACGAGCTCGCCTTGTAACCAGAAGGTTCTGGGTTCGAGCCCGGTGAGTGCGTACTGATGAAGAGTCCCAAACTAGGACGAAACAGCTGTCCAGTACTCCTCCCAGTTGGTTTTCCAATGGTTCTCTAACCAGTGTCAGCTTATGATGAAATCCTGTAAAGTTCTAACAGTAAGACTCTGAGGTGCAAAAAGTTATAGACCATCATATTTTAATTAGCGATTTATTTGTAATGTAGTGATAACTTGCACAGCTGAAAAAATCGTGAGATCGAAAACACAAGTGCCTGATTGTATCATCGTGAGATACAGCCAATGACAGTTTTCAACACTTGTGGGAGTGGTCTTAATTTCCAGTGTCACAACATGCATAACTGAATGAATATTGCATCAGGATGGTAAACTACATGTAATTACAAGTAGTTTCTCCACTCACTCCCTTATGATTGAATGTCTGAATGATAATCAACTAATTTTCGCTTTCATGGTTTCGTGCTATGAAACTTTTTAAGAAAATAGATAGCCTAAGATTACACAAGAAAATGAAAATACGAAGTATCACTAGCGATTTAAATAATATCCGTAGAAAATGTCAAATAAATTGCAGTCCAAGCAGAAAAAAAATCTTAAAATATTACTCTGTGCAGTAATCTGACGTAGATCGTCTGATGGTGTTTATCTATAACAGTATTTCTCTGCCTCATTCATTTATGTTATATACTTCTGCACTATGCACCTAATTTAAATATCACTGGTGTTTAAATAAACGCCAAACTAATTAACCAGTTCACTTTTGGGAATAATTAAGTTATAATTACTCTTAATTGCATGATGTTTTAGTGAAAAGATATTTCTGTTTCAATATTCTGCATATAGGATATATTTTGTCCTTCTAATTTAAATGTGTGTGATCGCATTCATCTGCTTCAAGCTTTACAAACATGTGGACTCCTGTTAGAATACAGTCTGATGCCAATATTTTAGTCATTTTCACGAGAAGAATTATTTCATTAAGATTTTTAGTAATTAGCTTATGAAGTTTCATCACATTAGACGAAATGATTTTCCTAACGATATATCTGTTGCATGATCACATTTATGCACATACTGTTGCAGTTGTAGTTTCACACTATCCATTGTTAATGGCGTCCTCATTAAAACAAAAATAGTCAGAATCATCTGGAGGATTCGACAATCGTAAAAAAACGAAATTAGTTTCATTTGGAATAAATGCTTACAAAAAGTATGAAAATTCAGCTTTGTTTTAAACGTAGTATACAAGAAAAATAACCAGCCTTTATAAAAGAAACGTGTTACAGCCATATCGGTATATATAAAAAATAGAAATTTCCTTATTACTTAGACTACGCTGAAATAAATTTAAATTAGTCTGAGAAACAAAATGAGCGTAGGTGATGGGTCCGCTAAAACATCGAAAAACTAAACCTGTGTAAGCTATTTTTATAGTGGATATTCTTGACTCCCTGATAACAAATCGATGTACCTGTTCCGTTTTACTTCATTCTCAAAAGCACAGCAATAATAAATGAATTAAATAGGATGTGCATTTATTATTATGAAGTGGATAATATTATAGATCCATAGACTAAGAGAAGATAACGTAAAATAAGCATAGTGATGGACGGTTAAGCACACTTTACTCTTAAATACTATGTTTATCACAAAAAAGGGTACTAATAAAGATGTCATCGTCAAGATAAAACTTACTACTTACTACACTTTCTGAAAATTCATACTGAGTACTGATCGCGAATTTTAGAAAAAATATTGCAATCGTAAATTGATTTGCACATACAAGTTAAATAAGTTCTGTCATAATTAAAATGTTTGCCACAGAATTTCAGAAAAACATTCAGATGAAATTCAATTGACTGTGTTATTTAGAATAGCTCATTGTGTGCTGAATTGATATTTTAGCAAGAGATACACTGAGCAGAGTTTGAGATTTAAAAACCCAGATTTGACCAGTGCATTACAATGGTCGCATGACATTGATGGTATATATATATATATATGAATTATTATTATGAATTTTCAGAAAGTGTAGTAAGTAGTATATATATATATATATATATGTATATTGTTCAGACTTCTTGTCAAAGAGACATTTTTTGAATAACTCGGAAAACGTTCGTAAATGAGCATGATATTCATGTCACGCTTGATAGACGTAGTCATCCTTTGAAGTAAATATTCAGCTTTATGTGTTTTCTCCCGTACGAAATTCACTGACTCTTTGAAAAAGGTCAAGCTTAAGTGTTTCAGCTTTTTGGTCTTCACATAACCAATTTGAAGTGTTTGACGAACACAAACAGACTGGTTCATTGCATCCTAAACCTTTCGTACTATACAATACTTATTGTTATTACCACTGTTTACATATTCATTGTAATTTACGCTGAAGCAATTTAACAAATTAGGGAAACATGCAGACTAACTGATCTTAACATATTTTCTGAAATTTCTTTGTGTCTACGTTGATAAAGCCCTCATCATGTATTTTGTGTACATCTGACAAATTATGCGCATATGCCACCTAGAAAGCCCAAACACCTTCAAGTAAAAAATGTGAAGGAATGGAATTTCATATACACATAATATTATCGAACTAATATGTAAACAATCTGTACAACTATCTGTCACTTAGCAACTAATCTCTTCCCTGAAATCTTTTTCTTTCACGAAGAAAAATTCATAGTTGATCTTGATTTGGTCTTTGTTTACATAAAGCGGAAGCGAATACTAATCGTGTTATATGCATATATAAACTGTTGTAGTTGTTATGGTATTATCTACGAGTCCCTTACGTCTTTGTTTAGATTTGTGTGTCTGTCCAACAATAGAACAAAAATTGTCGTGTGTTCACGTAAAATTAAGTGAAAAATAAACACCTCACTTATCTTGATGATAAAAAAATAAGATGTACTTGGTTTATTCAGAGTTACTGATTACAATAATGATCATGCATTAAAAGTTATCTCTCACCACCTATAAGGTGTAAATATGTCAAGATTAGATAATATAATTCTTTCACATTAGCCTTATATACGTGAACAACTTGCCGTTATTGTATATCGACATCACATCACACTAAATTGAAAATGAAACTTCCTCCCCATTTTACACATGACTACCTGTATTTGTTCGTTTGTGAACCTGGAAACAATACTTTCGAAGACAGATATCAAAGAACAGTAAATTGTATTACTTAAGAATTGCTTAGTTTCTTCATTGTGATTGACTTCTAGTCTAAATACTGACATTGAAGGGGATAGTGAATAAAATAAACAGTTTACAAGTCCAGTTTTCTTTACTAGGAAGAAACTGAGTTTAAGGCGATATTAGATTTATTTTGTAATTATTTCAAAGAAGACTCCGTCTGAATACGTTTCTGATCTTTTCGTATATTCTGATGTTTAGTTTAACTTCTAATTCATTTATTTTACTTTATATGTTTGTCGATAGAACTTGCACTTTACCATCAAACTTTGCATTGCCCAACTCCAGGATGTACGGGTAGAGGACATGTGAATAATAATCGTTCATCTCACCGAAGGTAATTTTAATTGAATTAATTGAAAATTCATTTGGTTTATATTTTCATAGCATGCTAACTTAAAACTGATTCGTATACATTAAATCTCTCTTCAAATTTATGTTAGGATTTCGTTAATTATATGAAATCTTCATTTAAATGGTGCTTTAGAAACTAAAGAAATAGTTTACCGATAGGGAAACTGTTCATCAACGTATTCTTTGTATGTGAACATGCGTTTTCTGCAGGTTCTTGAATAAACGATTAGTGGGGCGACTGGCATAATTATAAGTGACAAGTGCATGCTAACGTTTGAAAAATGTATCCGATGTTTGCTTAATTCTAAAACCGTATTCAGCTGTTTACTGTTCCACTAGATCCTGAGGATATCTGAGTGATAAATGCATGTTCTTTTGCAAACCACGAAGCAAACACACATATGCTCTTTATTCTTCTAAATACTTCAGGCAACCAGTTGATTCAAAGTGGTATACAAGTGTTCATTTTAGCTTCTTACGCAGAGTTTTATACTGCACACATTCAAGATTGATCTAGTCACAACATTTCACCTGATTTTCAAGTAAGCTGAGTAAGGGCAAGTCCAAGAGATCATAAATTGTATCTTGTGATGTTAGTTACTGTAAATGCTGCAGTAAAACGTTGCTTTTTTCCGTCAAACTATTCTGACTTCGCAATACACTTGAAGGGATCCTTTTTATTTAGATTTTTCTATTATAAGTATAGGCGCTGTGTATGACGTACACATCCGGTATACCTGACTAGAAGTTCCGATAATTCACATTGAATACTGAAAAAAAAGTGGATGGATTGTAGATTATATTCACACTGTCACATTATTTTTGTTATAAACTCAGGTGACTTAGCTATCATGACACTGTTTTTAGAGGATTATCTTAGTTATACAAAATGTATCCTACAGTAATCTATGTTAAAAATTAAGTACTCGTTTGTATTACACCATCCTCAAACTGTTCTCCAGGTCACTAGAAAGGGAAGTATGTTTCTTCTTCCGCCATTTATACAGAATCTAATAATATTTTTGTCAATGAAGCAGGATTATTCACTGAATAAGGGTTCATTTTTATGTATGACATTATAAGACTATTCGTGTAGTCACAGTAAAGTTGAAGTAAGGAGTGTATGTTGAGCTAACACAGAAGTGAGATATTAACTGAGTTAAGCATGTCAACTTGAGTTTGGACTGTCTGTCATAAAGCTTTCATTATTAAACGAAAAGTAGACTAGATTTTTTATACACGGTTATCATCTTTTAGTGTACAAATCTCCAGGACATACGCATGATTCACAGTTGATATAAGGGTTTAAAAATGATAATCAACCATTCCAGGCATACTTTTGATAGAAATTGGTTCGATGGACTAAACTGATGGGTTGATGGCTGAAACTAAAACAAAAGTTGGGAAAAGGTATGGACTGAGCCAGTGACTTTGAGGTCGTTTTTTATATTTTATAATATGTAAGAATAAGTTAACTGGAAACACCTAGTCTTTATTGTAAACGGGACATGAACACGACAAAATATTAGCTTCCTAGGTATATTAAAAGCTCTCTATAAATAGCTTACTTATTGGTATTCATTGTTTTTGTCAGTGAGTCAGCGGTATTAATAATGTTAAATACGATATAATTTCATTTGACCATATCAGGTCTCTTTGCATAAGTGACAATAATTTCTATTACATCCAAAATACAACATGGAGCATGACAGTGGCACATAACACACACAACTATTCTCAGACTAATATTATTCGTAATTGTAATTAGACTGTACATCCGACAATATATTGCTTAGTTTGAAGATATCTAGGTAACTAAATATCTAATTTATATTCCCCGTCACAAATGAATTAAATAAGATTTAATCACTATGACAATCCTAAAGTTACAAATGAACTATAAATTAATGAATTGCTGAATCACTGGTTGGAAGTAGTTGTGTACAAGATACCCTTTAGAAAGTTTAACTTAAAGGTAGTATATATACGGACGGAATTAAGCCATCAGAATAACTTTTAAAAGTTTTAATCCAGTTGCAATTTTTGTCTGCCTTGCCTTATTTTGTATCCCTGTCTTTTTGCTTATTTTAATTTAACACGTTAATATATATATATATATATATATATATATATATATAATGTGTATAACAAAGTGATATTAAGCCCTAGAGATAGATCTATTTCCCCAGAGTGTTCAACTCTTCATTTATATATAAGCGGACACAGTGAGCACTTAGCCACATACAAGTGTATCATACCTTTTGTCATTTCATGTTAGAGAAGAAAAAAAATTCGTGGGTGAGTAAACAGAGGTATGAAAATCTTTCTTCTTTCATAATTTATGAACTGTCAACAAATGATTCTCATAAAACAGTGAACCAGATATTTCTGTTGCGTCATTTATATAATTAGTGTATATGTGCAGTTAAACTTGTTACTGTTTATATATAATATGTCAATAGGCAAAGATATTAGAGCAATATTATACAAAAAACGAGATAGATTTGATACACAAAGGAGATAACGTGCAGTGTTTTCTAATCTAAAGTCAAATTAATGAAAACTAGAGACACAAAACTCGTTCAATCTTATTCTTCATTTTGTTGACATAATCCCAAAGGAGTAGAGTTTGTTTAAACCAAACAACCTTATTAGTTGTTCAATGAATTAGTTTTATGTATACTCATATACAAACTATGAGGTTTTGCGGACAAGTTTTACAACCACAAACTAACATAAAGTATATCATATTGGAAAAGAGAATTTCTATTAAATTATATATGTATATATATATATATATATTCAGTGACAATAACTTCTGGTGTTCAGTTACAACCTTAGTAAAAGATACGAATTTACTAATTGTTTGAGACGAAATTTCTAACGAATATGCTCACATTCTTTATGTAGGACAAACATTGTTTATGCATATCACTTGAAGACACTTTAAAAAGACATGAACCAACAAACAGTTAATTTAGTTTAGTTTATTATGGTAGGATTTTTTAAAAGTGGAGACCAACAAGTTGTTTTTCTTTCTTTTTCGTTCTGGACTGGCGGATGGAAGTTTAACAGTCTATAAGATAAATTTCCTTAGGAAATAACATTATCTGAGAAGTAAACAGTATTTCACAATTCTTTTATCCTAGCTTATGACCTTTCACTAGTAAATGCGACTGATCCGACTAAGGGGGAACTCTATTGTGAGTACACCTACCTACTAATCTATCAAATTGAATTCTACACTGTTGATTGTAGACAGAACTGATATTAAACTTCATATCCGTGAATTGACAGTCGTGGGTTCGATCGCTCAAATTTTAATGAACTGGTACCGAAATGTCTCAAAACTAAGAAGGAAAACTGTCCTATTTTTATTGGTTTGCACTGACTCAGTTACGTGTTAGCTGTTGATAAAATAAAAAAATAAAAATAAAAACTTCTTTCCCTTAGCAACTTTGATTCTAAAACAACTTTAAAAAGCATTTGGGGAGATCAAAGCTTAATACCAGCTGTTTGTTTAATTTTGACTAATATATACTTATGTAAATGGTAGTAAAATCTTATTGAGTGTTGTTTTCCAGTCTGAGAGATAGTACCTGGTTATGTGTGAACAATAGCCTTTCACTACACTTTTCAACTGTTATTGCTTTAATTACGTAATCACCCACTTTAATTTTCTTTGTGTTCGAAATAACCAGCTCACTTCTACTTACAAACAGTGATTCGAGAGGTTAACATAAACTTTTTCTAACTTCTTGTGACCGTTTTCCACACTGCACTTATTACATATAGAATTTAGTTTCTAGAGTTATTTTGATCAAGTTCTGAAGGACCAAAAAGTCATCTAAAGTACTCTTGGAGATTTGTTAAAGTAAATATGATGCATTCAGCTTATGTTTACCATCCTAAGAATAGTATTGAGAAAGCAGGGACGATCGTTGCAATCTTCACTCACTATGCTCCTTCCTTGTAATTTTATCATGAAGTCGATATTTGTATCGTGTAATTGGTGAGCGAATACATCTAATAGATTTAAGCACACAAAAAAGGAATATATTTGACATTTACTGGTCGATTCATCCAGTTGATGAAGGTATCGCAAAATTAACTGATTTCTGGAGATCAGAATCCTTCATAAAACAGCATTGATGACAACGCAAAAACTAATGCTGAAACCCCTGTCATAAACTCCAACTACTTTTGAGGAAGAAGATCAAAAAGATCGTCTGCAACATAAGCTGAACATTTTCTATTATTTATTTTATTCCTTTGCGTTTCGAGAGGAACATAGGGCTTCAAGCTTGATCTTTGAAGTTTCAGTAGCAGTTGTTTTAATTTTACGGGAGAGGACTGCTAGCCTTACACCCAGCCTTTCCTCTTTAACAGGTGTGCTACCGGCTAAGTGAGGTTGAGAGGCACGTTGGTCGGGGATCGAACCCCAGACCACATGCGTGGCTGGTAAGCACTCTACTGCTGCGCCACTGACGCAGAAAAGCTTGATATACTGATTATAAAATTAAGTACATAACTGTTAGTCTTCTATGAGGATTATACACTATTCGACATAAATATTTTTTATATTTAGTCTTCATTTGTTTCCGCTTTCTTATTTCTCTGAATTCCTCATCAACTTTATTACAGGAAATATTGTGTATTGATCATAAGAAGTTTTATTTGAATTGTATTCAATATACTCATTATAAGACACAAACAATGTATATTATTAATGTGACTTTGACTGTTTCATCTTGATAGTGTTGACAACTTCCTTGTAATAACACTTTCGATGGAATGTATCGAATGTATAATGATCATTATTTACTTTGTGAATAATGATCCTAGCAACAACTGTGTACGTATGTGTATCGTCGACTTTGTATTTAATCTTCGTGTTTTTATGATAAACAAATGAAAGAATCTTACAAGAAATTCAAGGTTCACAGTATTTAGTTCACTTTGTTACTGTACTATTTTTTTTTGTTATTATAATTATTATTAATATTGTTTTTACTGAAAATATTACTGAAAACAAATGTATTTCTCTTGGTTACTTGTACAAGATGTAACATTATTATCATTACATTTATTAAGTAGTTATGCGATGAACTACTGTTACAATATGCAGGATTTTTGCCTTCAGAAGAAATATTCGAAAAGCATGTAGATGATTTAAGATATATATATATATATATATATATATAAGATGTATTTTATCTTTCTGATAAACATGTAAATAATTCTGAAAGATACAACCAAGAAGTGATTCAATTAACAGGTCAGGATTGCGTTTCCCGTTAATTGAATATTCTAGGCCTTAATGCTGTTGACATTTTTGACCACCACTCACTAGGAATGAAGCTACATCCAACTGACGAGCCCCTAGCAGGATGAAACGTGAGTCCTGAATTCCACTGCTAGTCACCAGCAGTCGAAATAAGTGTATGGAAATATTGTAAAAGCTTCCTTGTACCAGTGAATATAATGCATGGGATCATTTGTAGTCTTTATTTCTGATATATGTATTGATAACTATGTGCTATTAGTGACGACGCTTACGTATTTAATGGGAATGACGTTATTGAATACTGAGTAAGGAAAGTAAGTAGATACTTCTAAGTCCAGATTCATAAATTTCTGGCAAGAAAAACTTTTATATACACAACGGAGACAGGAACTTAGATTCTTGATTGTTTTATTACCGAAGTCTTACATGAATCAGGCATAAAATTGACTCTATGTTTCTGTTCATCAGCACATTTTGACTAGAAAAATTACCTCAGAAGTTATCTACAAGCTTTATCTGACAAATTAAAATTCGCAGAACAGTTTTCTACTCACTAGAATACAATAATAAAACAGTTATAAGTTCACGTTTTCAGTTCGAAGCGAATAATTTCTAATGCACCAGTTTTTTTACTGTGAGTGATTTTGATCCTCTTTTTACGCCTACAGAATTGACATCAATTATTTTCTTTCTCGTTCACTTTTTAAACCTGCTAATGCTTGTTTACTGATACACTTCAGTTTTTCTGGATGTCCTCTTGCAAGTCGAAATCGAAACCGGCAATCAAAACGTCCTATGTCACCACAAAGTAAGTGAAAGTACGAATAGGTTTCATTATCTGTTCAAATTATCAACGTAATTTATCCTTTCATTATATATATATGTCTTGGGAATTTCGGACACTGTGTATTATCCACTTCAGGAAAATTTTTTCACAATATGAAAAGAATTATGTTGTCCGACTTATTTAAAACTATGACAAAGCTCAGCTTGCTAAATTTTATAGAAAAAAATTATCTGAATTTGGCTAGGAAGTTTTCTGGGTATGCATTCACATATATTTTAGAAATGAGCGCTATAGCTGTATGTAGTATTACCGTTTAGACACCAGAAACAGGGGGAAGAAATTCCCAACAACTGTCAAAAAGCATCAACGAACTTTTTTTTTCCTTCACGTTCCCAAGTGGAACATAGGCCTTCAAGCTAGTGGCTTGAAGTTTCTGTAGCAGTGTTTATTTTACAGGATGGGGTTGCTAGCCTCATGCCCAACCTTTCCTCTTTACCAGCACTATTTCTGGCTCAGCGAGGTAAAGGAGTGCGTCGGCAGGGGATCGAACCCCGGACCATGTGCATGGTCGGCGAGCGTCCAAACCGCTATACCATTGACGCCCCATCAACGAACTTACTGAGGATTTTAAGAAGAAGTTACATGATCATGTCCGAAAATATCAGAGTGACTGATGTAGGGGAGTTACTGGCAAAGGATTTTCTAGAATAGCTCGCAAATAACCAAAGCCTTTATAGACATATTCATTCCTTCGGGTTCCAAGTGGAACAAAGGGCTTTAAGCTGCAGTTTCAGTAGTGGCAATGTGTTTTTGCAGGTAAGGATTTCTAGCTTGATGCTCAGCCTTTCCTCTTCTCCGGGTTTACTGTTAACTAGTAGACTAGGCTGTGTAAGAGTGCATCTGCTGGAAATCGAACCCTGGACGACTTGTTGTTGACAAACATTCTACTACTGAACCACTATGGCATATATATATATATATAATCTTAATGGTAAGTACAATTAACTACCAATCGTTTTATGTCCCAGTACCTGAAAAATTTAGAGGAAATCAGAAGTGGCATTGCTAAATTTTTTAAGTATATAAGTCTTAACGTTATCATTATATCAACTGAATTACACGGTCAACGTAACCATGTGAAGTACTCCCATAATTAATGAATAAAAATTTTTACGTGTTACTAAAACTGATTTTAAATTTATAGCACATATACAGTAACCCCAAGTTGAAAGGTTCTTTGAATTATCAGATGAAACTGTAAAATGAAAAGTATGCCTCCTTTTTTCTACAGCAAGAGAGCAATAAAGTGATGACAAGTGAATCCATTTTAATTCTGAATTATTTTACTGAAGTTTTGAGTGTTATCAGTGACTTTATTATTTTTAACTTCATCGACTTACAGTGACAACCTACGCACTGAAGTGCGTTTCACTTCTGATAGTGTGATATCTGGTTTCTAACAAATACTATACATTGTAGCTCATAACTTTAATCTGTTATCCCTCAGCAATATATTATTAACTATGTAATTTGTATTTTGATACAGGGATTGAATCACGCCATAAATCTTCAAGTAATTTGGTATCTGGAAACGAAATCGATATGTCTTATCCCAAGAAGTACTGCCCACTAACAGGTCTGAGTAGTAAACTAAGCTTAGATAATCCGTCTGTTCCAATGATTGTATCTCCTTTATTACAGTCACCTGCATTGTTCAATGAGTCTCAACAGTTCAACGGAAAACTTATGTCAAACTTCGATGTGAACTTTCCACTGCACAATTTGAATCGTACTGTTGCAACAGACTCAAATAATTTAACAAATGGATGTAATGATACAATTTCGAAATCTATTTATGATATATTACCCAACTTTATTAATACAACACATTTTACAAATTTGATAAATTGTCCAACACAATCTAACAGCACCAATATTAATATTGATAAAGGTAGCAGTTTACTTAATAACTCACAAATTCTCTGTTCCATGTTTAACTCGTCAGGGTTAAACAGAAGTCTAGATGAAAAAAGCAGCGATTTCAACACTAAGCAATCTGTTATATTTTCAAATTCTATGCAGCTTAAAGATATGAGTTTCACAGGGTGTTTAGACTATCCAGTTTCTAATTTCACTATGACACAACGTAGTGTTCTTCAAAATGCTAACCCGAATCAAAATCAAAATCGAATACTATCAAAACCAGCAGAGACTTCCTATAGTGTCAATGGTAGTAGTAGTATTAGCAACAGCAGTGGCAGTAGCAACAGCGACATAACGTTCCCTAAGTCAATCATAACAGCACAAATTAATTGCGTATCAGAAAATCCTCCAATAAATAAACAGAACTTATTTATCAATCAGTATTTACCCTCACAAGTCATCAATTTATGCTCTGATTTAACTAAAAATTATTCAACACCAAACTTGCTGCATACCGAAACTAAATTTGAATGTCCGATTGACTTATCTTTACATTCCAGAAATCAGATGGATGAAACATGTAAAAGGTAATTATTTTTAGATGTCACTTTATTGCTGCTATTATTCGTAATTACTTGTTTCATATATGATCTTTATCACATACTAATCAGTGAAACAAAGGACAGCAATAAATTGCTATGAATTATTCTTAAGCGCTAAACTGGAGTGAGAACAGTTAAATTTTGAGAGTTAAGTGCTAATATGACTAACTTACTTAATTAAAGTTTAGTGCTAAAGCTTTTGAATTTTCATACCGTAACAGTAAATGACCGGAGATTTGGTATCTCCATACAGCCAAATTATGCACACCTCATCTTTAAATCACCATTTGCACAGATCTTCAGTGTTATGCTATGTCTGGCCTTCGAATTGTGTTTCTTTGTGTGTCTTTCACTTCTCCGCAACTCAGTCTTGTTGTCCTCAAACTTTTGGTAATTTCCAACATGATGTCGGGGTCATTCTGATCATCATATTCAGCACAATTTGATACTGTGCACTGATTTTTCCTACTGATGTAGGGACTGAATTGAATTCGTCAGCCATATTACTTGTGTCTACTAAGTATTATATCCAATTTCATCAAGAATGTTCAAACAATGAAGAACAACCATGCCAGCACATGTAAGTTTTTTTACAGAGACTCTAATATAAATGGACAACTTGCATACAGAAACGGGTGATTCAATACTTATCAACTTTTGTTTGTAAGCTACATGAAAGTACACGTGAATCGAAACGTGACCTCTTCAGTATTTTATATTTCCTTTGCGCAAACTGATTAACAATTTTGAATGTAGATCTAATCAGTTAGAAAATCATTGAAAAGTAGAGGACACTAGACGTATGAGTTTTTCTGAGCTTGAACTTATAAGAAGTGCTTTCCGTGACTTCAGCAAAGGTCAAAAGTTGCCTTTGATCCCTGGTGGTTTCTGAAAAGTCCCAAAACAGGACGACTTACTTGTCTGGCTCTTGGTGGTTTTCAGTGATTCTTTAAATGATATTGGTTTCTGAGGAAATCTTCAACTAAATTAGTCAGTCTGTTACAAGCCATACATTTGCATTACAAGGAAATTGCTTGTTTTCAACCTCTAATTTTAAGACAGAGTGGTTGCAAGTTCACCTATGAAAGAATAAAAAGCGTGTTTAATTTATATCTGGAGGTAAGTAATGGTTATTTGATTTTACAGTTACAAATCTATTGTGCGAACTTGAATTTTCTAACACTCTCTAATACATAATAATTATATGTATTAAGTTTTCATTCTATAGATGAGATGAGTGTGATATTTGTACAGTATCGTTAGGGTTATTTTGAAGCTCTCTGTTTCTCCCACTTCTCAAACAGAAAAAAACATGACACAAAATTTAGTTTAACTAATACAGGGATTTACTTCTATATTGTCATAGTTAATTCTGTCAATCTGATCGTTTTGTAGCAGTTCTTCATATATGAGATGAGACATTCTGCTTTATAATTCAGAAATATGCTGTCACTATGGTCACATTAAGTAATCAGTAACCTTCTTTTTATAAGCGGTTAAGTAACGGTTTTATTTAAATGAAAACTTACAGTTCGTAATTATTTTGATCTAAATATTTTACATACAAGGATTTACCTTACAGTTTGATCAGAACTCATTCTCCTAATAAGTGGGATTTTTGGGTTAAGATAAAGGCTATCGTGAGGTTTTCACACACAGTATAGGAAGCATCACAGCAGATACTCTGTTTGGGCAAAAATGTTGATAGAACACCTCTAAAACAGCCAAACGTAACGTCTGATAGGAATACAGCATTATTCAGGGCCAGTAATATAAAATGGACTACCTGAGAGGATTCAAGTCGTAAGTGACCGCCTCCATTCTGTCTATACAAGTATACTGAAATGAAGGCACGGCAAGTATGATTTGCTATAGTGTATATCCTGACCCGGAGAATTTTGACTAGATCTTAGCTGCCTCGTTTGCCCTATTTTATCCACACCGATTCGTATTTCATTCGCACACCTCACGCAGTGTTAGACGAGAATTTATCCAATTGTTCTGTTTCTAATTTTAGTTCCTTCACTTTAGACAAAGTACCAACAGTAAATATAACAAGTCGGTCATTTGAAATTGGCAGTCTCTGTCCGGAACTTCATGACTCCAAACAACAGCATTCAGAGAATTTGTCTCTAAGTACAACACTAATGAATAATGATGGTGTTAATATTGATTCCCTTCATTCATCTAACACATATGACCACATTAATTTAGTTAATTCAAAGTATCCAATGAATGTTCAACCATCACGAAGTTCTAACCTTAGTCTTAACGAGAACATGATAGGAACCAGCATGATTTCGAGCATAAAACAACTTCCAGAAGATGAAAACTTTTTGGCAAGCATGGGTTGCTTAAACTTACTGCAGAGGAAATCGAATTTCGAAACAGCAAATATTCTATTTGCATTCAACTAGATATTTTATCACAAGAGATAGTGAATGAAACAAGCACTTGAAATGATTAAAATGAAGTGGAGGTAAGAAGGTTATTAAATTAATTTTATATATTTTCACATCTTTTTTGATTCACAATTACTTTCACTTTGAGATTATATGAAGGAATCACTATCATGTCTAACTGGTATAAAACAAAGTGTACGCATATACTGAGTCAATTGGTGTGCATGTTAACTCATTTAGGAACAACTATAGCACATTACATTACTAATTACTATTTGTCTGGCTGTACCAAATAATTTCAGCGACATATGTATCTACACTAATAAATAAATGAAAATATCAGAAAACTCATCTAAATATAGAATTGCTGCTGATATCACCCGTGCTTTTTTTTAAACAATCTTTTCCAACCAATAAATTACTCTAACCCTAGAGTAACTGTGTCGCACAGAAACGGTAATTATTAGTGACACTTATTTCACGAACGATCACCTTATATGAGAATCCCATTCTCAATTTCATTTCTAAGAAATTCAGGTCACTTATGGAGTGCACTTAACTTTACTTGAGGCTTAAGACTCAAGAGATTCCTCAGTGGTACTCAGCCAACGGGGTTCGAACCCAGGACCTTCCAGTTACAAGGCGAACTCGTGGACCATTCAGCCAATGGCACCCGATCTAATGAGCTATGAATTCAAACTTCTGCTAATTCATATATATATATATTTATAATGCGACAGCCAACCAGTGTCATAGGCGAGTAACTGTTTCCTTACCAGTCTTTGTGGACCCGTCTGGATACGACTTCTCATTAGAACTCCAGGTAACTTCTTGCATAGAACCAGTCGCTAGTCAGCATCAGGTTGACTATCAAGTGTTGGTTTCCAGGGGTTTGACTAATTCTCTAATTGATTTCAACTGGTTATCGAACCTGTAACCAATCAAATCTCCACAAACCAACACTTGAAAAAGTGTTTTATTTTACTGAATTTCTGATGAGGCGAAATCAACCATAGTGCCACTTGAAGTTGTGGCGATGTTCCACTTCAAATGCATGGATTACAACTTTGTTTAAAAATTCACCAGAATCTTTTCAATTTCCTTTTCAGCCTATGCTATCAATAATGCATTTATCAAAACTCCCCAGGGCTGTACATCGGTGTTCACTGTTAGATAAATCAATTTCTGATATGTTGGAAATACATTAACATTGGACTTTCATGATTATTTTATTCTTTTTCCTTATTTTACTTATAAGATTATTCAGTAGTAAACTGTTTATAAATAAAAATATTTCAAAGTGACGTCTGTATCGAGTTTAAACAAATTTTTTAATTTCTTGTTATAATATTGTACAGCCACTTTTGTTGTTTATCTTATTCGAATTAATTTAGTTAATACAAATGGATTTCGCGGATATGAGAGTACACTTTTGTTTTAAGTATAAAATTTGGGCACTGTGATAGAGTATAACTCCATTATAAATAAGATTTTATTTTGATAAATCACACAGTGTTATACAGTAATATTAACAGTTAATATTACTGTATAAACTTTTGTTTGTTTCGTAGGGAGACGCATTAAAGTGATTTTAAGGTGAGTTCTAACTGCAGTGAATCACGTCCTCGTAAGGAATTTATTTAAAAATAGGTTAAAGAGTAAATCATATCTTTTTTGGAAGAAGCATTCATTAATATCATGGTATCTTGAAAAATCTGGGATGTATGATAAATATCAGTGTGAAAAATCATTCGCAATCGAGAATGCTTACAACTAATTAGTTAAGTGAGGTGAATAATTATTTGAAGAAAGCGGATAAGAAACGAGAGCGCAAAGAACTGAAAGTGCGTCACAGAAAAACTATATGGAGTTTCTTGCGTAAGGCACCAGAAGAAATTAATACTAGGATAATACTTGTAACGGAAGCTGGATGAAACGTTTCTAAACGCGAAATGCAGACTTGCCCTTATGGATGGCAAGAGCTTCAGCTACATGAAGGTCGTTCTGGTCGTCTTCATTTAACTTTGTGTATTACTTTGAATGATGTCTCTGACGATACTGAATCAAAAAAGAAGTAATGATATGCTCTAGAATTGAGCTGTTGACTGTTCTACGTTCTGCTTTTGGACAGGCATGTTGATGGGTGTTCATGAATGTGTCAAGATAATGTGATGCAAGTACAGCTTTTGGAATTAATTAGTGAACTTGGTAAATCTATACTGAATTTTCCAGCTGTGGCATCTTGTCTTTGAAGTCATTTTTCACAGCCTAATATTTCCACATTAAGTGCGTATGGCACTAAAAGCGATACCAGTATAAATCAGACTGTTTCAACTATGTGATTAACAAAGTATAATATGACTATTTTATTCACGCCAGTTAAATATTGTGTTGATACATAAAAATGTTAAAAATAAGTGAAAAAAATTGTAATCTGATTGGTATAAAAAACTTCAATGTTTCCACTAGCTTAGTTGGAAAAAATGTAAGATTTCAGCCTCAGCTACAGGATTTATGCACTGGACTGCTATAAACGGGGTTGGTAAAAGTTGGAAAGAAAGATTTTTGAGTTGGAATCTAGCAAATGAATGATACTTGAAACCTGAAGATTCTAGGTTAGACTAAACATGAAATCATGGATACATCGTGTCAGGTGTCCTGAAATCAGAATGAAAAATCTTAGCAATTTTTCTTTAATTTTCATGATTCTATGTCTGATTTTATTTAGTGATGAACACTAAGTGGGAAATTTTAACAATATCCAAATGTTTAAGTGATTGTACCCAGTTTAAAAGAAATAAATGAGTATAAACACCAGAAATGTATACTATGACTATATTAACAAACAAATTTAGACACATCATTCATTTGTTGGTTAATTTATTAACCTAGATAACTTCAATAAGAGACAAAGAACTTATTTCAATAGCTGAATTATTTAGGTGGTCAGTTGATTTCATTTATGTCCAAATTAATCTAACAAGAGAACTTCAACTATTTGGCTCACTTGCAGTTCGCTCATCATCGACTCTACTCTTACTATCTGCAGTTATTTCAAGGATAGACACATCCGACCTGGTTTCAAAACATTTCCTTAATTTTTAAACAGATAAACTCACTTAGAGAGAAGCTTTATAAAATGAGGGATTCTATGAACGCGACCAACTTTAACACAGAAATTATATTGGAGTGATGATAGGGAGTTCAGGCACAGAGGTAAAAGTGGTAGATTCAGGTCAGCCAGAAATCCAGAACACGAACCTTTACTGAAATATACAATAATGAATCCTGATAAGATGAGTGGTTAGGAAAAATGTCCCAGTCACTGAAATACATTTCATCACCATAATTACTATAAAAGGCGACAATATTAAAGCACAGAGTAGTCAGAAGAATAAAGTAAATTCAGCTGGATTTTCGTTCTACACCATATACACTCATTAATAATGATAGACATTTGAGAGGTTCTAGTGCGAATCAAAATAAACTAATAAGAAGGTATGTAATCATAAAACCGATACCGAAGTTTGCAAGAATACCTTGACGTGACCGTTATCAGTAAGTTTTTTTCACAGCATCGGTCACTAAAAATGTACGGTGTCATTATAACACATGTCACATAAATAAATTTGCTTGGAATTGGACACATTTCTAATAGTTGGGATAAAAATATAGACTGTAAATGAATTCTTTTAGAGTTCACAACGATTCTTTAAATCATCCTATAAACACAACACAACATTTCTGAGTTCATTCTCTGGTATGACTGTATTTACGCACTTCTGAAGAGTCCAAAACTAGGACGAATCAGCTATTTAATATTCTCTGTTTCTAATGATTTTCTGATATAGATGGGTAGTGAAATCCAAGAAAATGTCAGTCAGATGGAGTAAATTCAAATATCTCTTTCCTGTGGTATTCATATGAGTCAATAATTTTACAAATTATGTGTGACAAATCAAGGAATTCCTGAATTTCGGATGATTTCAGATACGGTAATGAGACTGAGATTCAATAATTAATGCAAAATAGTGTTGCTACTTCTAAGTAGGCAAGACTATATGCAAAATATTTTCTACGGTCAAGCCATATTGTTATAAAAATAGTATGAACACCTATAAGGTAAATAAAGTAGAATTATATTTCAATAGTTTACACACGATGATAAGTTTTGTTATTGGTAATATTTCGAGCAAAATTACTGCCCGTGTTCACACCACTGTTACCTATAAGGTAATTTGAATTTATCACAGAGTTGAAATTCACGAGCATGTAAAATATCAAGAAAGAAAAACAAATGAAGACTTCTGTGTGCAAAGAATTACACCGTTCATCTGGATCAAAAGTATTCTTAAATAGACATATCTTCTTCAATTCAATTTTGATTTTCCATTTGCTTGATTGGACCGAAATGTTCTGTATTTGTTGACATGTTGGCTCCTATTACGGACGCTTCCACGATGTCTGAGGGTTACATCAAAGTGGCTTGGTGGATGGTAACTAGCACTGGAATCCAGGATGTGCATTTCGTTCTGGGACCGACTCATCAACTGGATGTACCTGCATTCCCCAGTGATTGATGGTGTTCCTACTGAAGCTCAAACCCAGTACCCATCGTTTGAAACACCTAAATATTATCTGCTAGGCCACTTGGGCAGCAGGTACATTCCAAATAGGATGATGTGTGCATTCCGGATTCAACTGCGAGTCTACATCCACAAAATTGCTTCAAGACATATATCTTCCCTAATTCCACTAAATGGGTGAAATTTTACTCAAATTAAATCCTCATCAAGCGTATCATGTATTGTTTTCAATAGTCTGCTCTTTACACATTAGTATTTTGGTGGCCCTAAGAATTTCTCTGCGTTTATTCTAATTACTCCACATATTAAAAATCCTTCTTTTTCTGTTCTTTCTGGAGTTTTCAGTCAAATTGATATAATCGTCTTCAGAGTTACTGAGTATTATGTTACTCCAGGAGTTTGTTTCCAGTAGTGAGTAACTTCGTTTTT